TCACCCAAGCCCTGGGTGGTGACTACCCCAGCCCCGTTTTGCATGTGGGAAACAGCAAGTTAAACCATCTGTTCCAGGTGGACTGGGAACCTGAACGCAGCTGCCCCACCCCAGAGCTCAAGCTCTGACCCCCAAAGGGAGGTGTGCCTGCCTCGTGAAGTCCTGCGCACCCCGCGGCCTCAGACACCCCCCCACCCCGGTTGTCTGGGAAACAGCAGCTTTGTAAGAGCAGCGAAGACTTTGGATCTCTGAACCCACTGCGTCGGCTTCCTAGGCCCAAGCCCGATGTGGGTGTCCAGGCAGCGCCCCACACCCACAGCCATGTTCAGCCTCCAGCAGGGTGTCAAAGACCTCAGCTCAGCCCTGACACCTGCCCGAGAGCGTCGCTCCCAGGCTAAGGGCTTCCTTCGCCCCCCAAGACTGCCCGGCCCTCCAGCGCCCAGTGCTGCACCTGGCTTCTGGCCATCTGACCACAGCTGGCAACCCCCACCACTCTGGCCTGAGCCTCGGGGGCCGGCTGGCCACACGCCCCCACGCTGGTCTCATCCTGGGACTCGCCCTGGGACACTGCACACCCAGGCTCCACTCTCTGTCCAGAAAACCCTCTTGTTTTGCACTCAACCACAGAGCATGCAAACGTGCCCTACCTGGAGGGGGTGCTGGCCCCAGCCCGGGGGTGCTGGCCTCAGCCCGGGGGCGCCCACCCCATGGCTGGCTTTCCGTGAGGAAGACCCAGGAAACGTGGCCTGAAGGAAAGTGGACATGTCCTGCCATGTCTGGAACCTGTGGGACATCTGCTTTTAGCTTTACTGAATCCATTTTCATCTGTAGCACAAAATAAACCTTGGTAGAGGGAGGAAAGTGATGCAGGTAAAATTGAGTCTGTTTATTGGAGCCTGATTCCCATGGGACAGCGCTGGAATGCCAGTAGGCCAGGACTTCTGGTCAGCCCCCTCCTGGGCAGGCTGTCCACCCCCCGGGCAGTGGCAGGAGGGGCTGCAGCTGTCCCCTGCCCATGTCCTGCAGTGGCCCCACTGCTGACCCTCTAGGTGACCAAGGGCGGATACGTCTCCTCTCTGGGCTTCTGTTCACTCTTCAAATGTGAGCATAGGAGCGGCATGTCCTGCCTGTCCTTCCTTGGTATCAATTAAAAGAAAATGTTAGTGCCAATAAACCATGGATGTAGATCAATGCCTTTGCAGAAGCCGTGAAAGGGTATTCTATCAACCAACCTGTGGGTGGCCTGCTCAGCCCCGCCTCCTCCATCCTCCCTTTGTTAAGGCCAGAGGGCTGAAGGGTTGGCATCTCGGCTCCACCATGTGGGCATGGGGCTGGGACGGCATCGCCACCCCAGTCTGTGGGGAGGGGGTGACACTGACCTCCCTACTGGACTGCTGTGCAATGAAGCGAGTAGATTCCAGCATAGACCCGCTTTGAACAGAGCTGCAGTGAACATTCTAGAACACGTCTTCAGGTGGGTGGACATGGGGGCCCATTTCTGCCAGGTCTGTATGTAGGCATGGAACAGCTGGGTCGTGGTGTATACACGTTTAGCTTTCGTAGAAATTACTAAGCAATTTTCAGCATGGTTTTATGGTTTTGCATGGCTCCCGGCCAGCTGCAAAGATCCAGCTTCTGGCAACCTTACCCAGCTCTTCCCTTTTAACCATTCTGGTACGTATATAATGATGCCGATACTGGTTTTAATTTGCATTCCCGGTGCCTCCTGACGCTGGGTTTACTTTCATGAGTCCGCACGGGGCCCTTCAGTCCTAACTGGCCCCAAGTCACCTACCCGCACCCCTCCCCATCCCCCACTCTGTGCCACGCCTTCATGACTGTGCTGTAACAGCCCTTTGTCAGACCCACGAACTGAAAGCAACTTCCTCCACTTTCTAGGTTGCTTTTCCACCTTTTTCATGCTGAGAATGATGAATAGAGTTCTTGAATTTTAATATAGTCCAAATGTATCCATCTTCCCCGGATGGTTAGTGGCTTCTATTCTACTTAAGGAGCCTGCCTATATCTCAGCCATGAAGATGTTGTGATCCATTTGGTTCTCGGTTTGATTTCTTTAGCTGATATCTGTCCCCCCTAGATATTTTTTCCGTATTGGTGTTATTGTTTTTCACTGATGTAGTGGTTTTGATGGATGGGAGTTCTGAATTTTAATAAAGGCAAGTTTATTAATTGTTTCAGGGTTAAAACTTTCCAAAGCCTGGGCCCTCCCTGGTGGCACAAGGGGTTAAAGCACAGCACCATGATGCGGTCAGCAGCCACTATAGCACGTTCAGTCCCAGGCCAGGGAGCTGACCCACAGGGCACAGCAGACCTCTCCCGCCTTCCCGCGGCTCCCCTCAGCAGTGTATTTCATCAGTCTGCCTGCTCTGCTCCCCACTCTGTCTCTGGTGAATCCTCTCACCCTCCCACACCTCTGGCCTACACCCCAGCTCTTGTAAGCTTAAGTAAATAGATCTTAAAAAATAATAATAAAATAAAAAACTTTCCATGGGCTATTTAAAAAATATGTCTCTAGCTCTAATTTAACAAAATTACTTTCCTACAATCTCTCCTTAAGAGTGTTCCTCCTGCAATTAGACTCTGATTCATCTCAAATTAGTACTTGTCTGTGGTACAAGGTCAAGGTCAAAAAATTGTTATTATGTGGTTATCCAATTGACCCAATACTATTATTATTTAATGTTACTGTCACTCCACTGGGTTGGAGTGTTGTCTTAACTACTTTGGCTTTATTAAACCTCATAAAGTAAATTAGGCAACTTCCTCTCTTTGTATTTTTAGAACAACTTGTATGAGATACAGATTATCCGTCCTCAGAACGTTTGTTAAAATGATGTACAAACCCACCTGACCTTGTACTTTTTTGCAGGGGGCTGATAGGAGGAAGGACTCTTTTTTCTTTCCATTGCTCATGTCCTTTATGTTTATATTCTGTTATCTATACTGATATTTCTCCCTTATGCATACTTTTGCATAAATTAAATTTATCTCATCTCAATTTTCAAATTTACTGGGGTCAAATTGTTCAGAATGTTCCTTTGTGATCTTGACGTTGTTGTGTATTTTTTAAATTTTTTAATTGCAGCATGATATACCCAAGGTACATGGGGAAAAGTGCAGGTAATTTACATGGGCAGTTCGACAAGAGTCCTCCTGGAACCGCTACTCAGACCAAGAAACAAATTCACCAGTGCCCAGAGGCTCACCACGCCCCTTCCAGCCGCTAACAGGAGTCACCAGACTTGTTTATTCTGTTAATGTGGTGAATGACATTGGTTGAGATTTTTTTTTTAATGTTAAACTAATCCTGCATTCCTGGAATTTTGTGGGTTTTTTGTTTGTTTACCATGTTTTCTTCCCATTACTGATAAGTCATTTGTTCTCTATTTTTGCTTAATTTTCCCTGGTCTTGCAAAATTTTGTTAATATTTGTCTTCTCTGCAGCTGAAAGAACTCTGGCAGCGAGCATTTACCCTCCAGCCCCAGGATTGTGTGTTACTGTTAGAATATTCAGTTCTGGGTTTTTTTTTAAAGATTTATTTATTTATTCATACCGAACTGGGGTACAGGCCAGAGGTGCAGGGGCGGTGAGAGGCTTCACCAGAGACAGAGTGGGGAGCAGAACAGACAGATCCACAAAGTACACTGCTGAGGGGAGCAGTGGGTGGGTCAGGAGAGGTCTGCCACGCCATGTGGTCACCTCCGGAGCCTGGGATGGAACTTGCACTGAAGCAGCTATAGCTACCTTCACAGTGCTGCTCTGTAACCCTTTGCGCCACCAGGGAGCATATTTTTACAAATTCAAAACAAACTTGATCACTTTCAGTGTCCATTCCCCACATCCCATTTTTGCTTCCTGGTAGATTTGTCTTCAAACGAGACAGCGACTATTACTCAAGAATTCCTTCAAAGTTCTCTAGTAATGGAACCCTGAGAACCTTGTTTCTATGCTTATATTTCCCCTTTATATTCCTTACTTGAATTTTTCTAGGTTTAAGTGAGGTTTAGATTACATGCTGCGAATTCACCCGTTGTCAGGGCAGAAGGATGAGTTTAGACAGCTGTGTAGTCGTGCAGTCACTACCGGAAACCAATACCAGTTACTGCCATCATTCAAAGCTTCCCTCCTCCCTCTTTCCACTCAGTCCTCTCCTTCACCCTGATTCAAGGCAACAGCTGATCTGCTTATTCCCACTAGTTTTTTTTCTCTTCCATATAGAGCTCGAATAAATGCGATTGCAGTTTATCGTGTTTGTCTTCTTCACTGAACATAACGCTTCTGAGAGGTATGCCGCTGTATGTTACAGTAATAAATTCTTCTTTATTGCTGAGCAATGCCCACAGCGTGGTTATGCCATGATTTGTTTATAGTCTATGGACATTTGAGTTGTTTCCAATTGTGCTCATGAATAATGCCTCCCTCAACATTGGCTTGCAAATGTGTGTGAATGATTTTCACTTCTTTTGGCTACAAGCCTGCCAGTGGCACAGAGAGGTGTCTCATTATGGCTCTAATGGGCATTCTCCTGATTACTGGGGAACTTGAGTATCTTTTCAGACGAGTAGTGGTCATTTGTATGTGTTACACGGTCAAATATCTGCTCAAATCCTTCCTACCAATACTGGGTTGTTTCTATTATAATTATTGAATTGTAAAAGCTCTTTATATATTCTGGATAAGAAGACGTTTATCATATATATATGATAAATATTTTGTCCTAGTCTATGACTTGTTTTTCATTTTTTGATGAGGGAAATTTTAACAAGGATGTAGAGATGAGGCTGACACACATCAGGCAGGCTTCCAGGAACCCACAGTGTTTGGGGGAAACACCCAGCAAAAGAACAGTTACCGCTCAGAGGGTTTACTTAATAACCAAGGTAAACACAGGCGCCCTGGGGGCTCAGGGGAGGCACCTACCCAGCCGGCGGAGGGTGGCTGCAAGCAGTGACTTTGAATGAGCTTAGAAGAACCAGCGATGGAGCAGAAAGGAAAAGGCTTTGTGGGCATGCGCAGTGTGGGCATCCCCACGGCCAATCCCCGCAAGAGGCACTGGGACCAGCTCAGCGCATATTCCGCCTGCAGGTGCATCGGGCGGGGCAAGGAGGAGAGATTCAAGGAACAGAGGGTCTGGGGCTAGTCCAGGCTGCCAAGCTAAGGCAACTGGAAGGTATGAGCAAGGCAAAAAGGGAAAGGCACTTTTATGCCAAAAGTTATCAAAAATATATATTAACTAAACAAGTACTGGTGCAGAAATAGACCATGGAACTGTTCTGGGCCAGGGAAGAGGCACCCCAGAAACCTGTTCTAATTAGTTTCCGCCATCCACTGCATCAAGACAAGACACGTGCTCACATCTGAACTTCAGTGGCAAGGAACTAATACAATTTGTGTGTAACAAAGAAAATGGGAAGAACAGAGTTTCCATATCTGCACCCAAAGTTACCTACCCCCTCGTGGGTAAATGTCCAGCCCAACAGGGTTGGCCCAAAGCAGGGCCACTGAGGCCCGAAGGCTGCCTCTAGGCTGAGGCAGCTTCCAGCGATGAGCAAATACACACAGGGGCATGGGTGCTAACAGCCATAAGCATCGGGTCAGCCACAGAGCTACTGGTGATGGAATTAACTTCTATGCAGGAGAAGAAAATATACAATTAAAAAGACATCCTATTGAATGGAGTGGAACATCGAGATGTTATATAAAACTGGAAAGCAGATTTGAACAGCCAGTTCACTCAAGAAGCGACCCAGAAGGAAGAGTATTCACCATCGCTGCTGGTGGGAGAGAAGCAGGTAAAACCACAGTGAGATGTCACCTCACACCAAAGAGAGCACAGGGATAGAAGAGACCTCCAGAACGTAATACAGTTAGTGTGCCACAAAGAAGAAGGGAAGAATAAAGTGTCCCAGTCAAGCACCCAAAGTTGCCCATCCCCTCGTGGCAAAGGTCCAGCCAAACAGGGTTGGCACAAAGCAGGGTCACTGAGGCCCAAGAAGCCACCAATCCGAGGCATCTCTGGTGGGGACCCGCAGGGAAGGGACAGAAGGGACCCAGCACTTCCGGGACAGAAGGAGCAACATCAAAATCAAGGTCAGCGCTGCCACTGTCCCCTGCCCACGGGCCTCTCACCCACGTGTTCCAGCCAGGACGGGGCGGAGAAGCCAGCGCAGCTTCCTCACAGGGCTCTGCCCCACCGGCCTCCCCCAGGACTCCTCCTCTCCGTCCTCCTCCCTCCTTCCCCAGCCTCCTCCCCAGCTTCTCCTCCCTGCTCAGCTCCACCTCCTTGGGGTGGGGCAGGGAACCTCCCCTTTTCCTGCGGACCACCCTGTTATATGTTCATTCAGTGAAAGGAGACCTGGGCCCAGGTTGGGGGTCCCGTGGGCGACAGGGGAGACTCCAAACAGCCCCCAGTGGCCGTTCATTCTGAGGTGTATATCTGGCGCCCCCTCCTGGTGCTTCTGCGCTCAGCATTCTTTGCGTTGGCTGCTTGGAGTCCTTTCCGTTAGCACCCTCAGCTGTCATCATTCTGCCGGCCGCTACTGGCCATTTCAGGAGTCTGGGAATGGCCCCTTCATGGCCCGCTCTCCCAGTGGTGAGGTGGTATTTCAATGTGGCTAATTTGCATTTCTCTAATAGTAAGTGACGGGCAACCTTTCCCTGTTTGCAGGCCTGGACTGTCTTCTCTGTGATTTTTATTGAGGTTTTCATTTGGGTCATTTTTTCCTTTGCTCTTGGGTTGTATAAGAGCATCACTGTATGGTTTAGAGCTCACCCGTTGGCAGGTGTTTGTTATGCTGGCATTTTTTTCTCACTCTGTAGTTTGCCTGTTTGTTTTGGTCATGGTTTCTTTTGTGGTGTGAAAGCTTTTACTTTTAGCTATTCCACTTGTTTATTTTTTGTCTTTCTTTCCCTTGCTGCTGGGGTTGTCTTCCCGAATACATCTTTGACCCTTGTTCTTATGTCTAAGCCTTTAATCCATTTGGAGTGAATTAGAATACATCAGATTTTCTGGGACAGATTATTGGTTGTTCGAAGCATAAAAGTTACTTTTTTTCAAAGATCTCCTTTTAAGAAGATAAAATATGTCCAAGAAGGAAAAGAAGAACATTAACTACTGGTGATCTACACGAGAAACAAAACACCAAATTATAAAGAATTTAAAATTTTACGCAACGTTGAGATACCCAAGTCGAAAGGAAATCATATACTATGTTATAAAATAATTAATTATCAATTGATGAAATTAAATTGATATTGATAATACCTTAAATTAATAACTCTACCAATTTCAAAAAATGAAATCTGTCCCATTTGAAAAAATTAATTTTAAGACCAGATGATTTTGCCCACACACACATTTATATTTTATATACTACCATAGAGAATATGTAGAAGTCAATGTTCCATGCACATGATAAAACTTAAAGAAAAATTGATAGGAAGAGCTGAAATCACTTAAATAGAAGTTCTGACTTTCACATCTCACCTCCTGGGGATCTTGAACTCACAATGTGAAGTCACTGCCCTGACAGCAGCAGGATCTGGACCACGGCCCAGCTGACCTCCTCTCCTCTCCCCGCCTTTCACCTTCCCCCAGGGCCACAGGATGAGGCCAGGCAGCGGGAGCAGCTACCACTTTATACCTCACGTTAACAGCAATTGGCTCAAATGCCTCAAATCTGGCAAAAAACAGAAATCTATAGATTCAAGAAATTGAGTGTAACTCAACAGAGTAAACTTTAAGGAATGCACAGCTGGGCGCGTCCTCTCAAACTTCTGAAAATAAGACAGAGAAACTTGTCAGAGTAACCAGACCAGAGAGAAACAAGGCATTACTAATGGAGGACAAAGACCCGCATGACTGCCACTTTCTCCTCAAAAAATGAAAGACAGAAGAAACAGGCAAACATTTTTCAAATCCTGAAGTGAAAATATCATCAACCCAGAAACCTTTATTCAGAAACGATGTCCTTCAGGAAAGGTGAGGAAATGCTAAAACAGCTTGTCAGCAGCAGCCCGGTCTGAAAGAATGGCAGAGTGAAGGTGTCCCCGAGAAAGGAGATGATCATCGAAAGACGCTCGGAACATCACAAATGAAAAAAGAGAGCAATGAAGTTGTGTGTGCTACATACTGCGTCACAGCTGTGAAGTGACAGTTGTAGTGATGGGGACTAGGTCAGCGGTCACCAGGGGTCAGGACTGGGGAGAAATGTGATTATTAAATGTAACACACTAGCATTTCTTTCTGGTGATAAAACAGCTCTGGAATCCACAAATGGACAGATTTTAAATTTTGCCCCCTAACAAGAGTGTATGAAAATGGGGCCTCCCTGGTGGCACAGAGGTTAAAATTTCAGCACTGTGAAGCTATCCCCAGCCACTGTGGCCGGAGTTCAATCTCTGGCCAGGGGGGTGTCCCACATGGCGCAGCAGACCTCTCCTGTCTCCCCGCTGTTCCCCTCAGCAGTATATTCAGTAGATCTGCCTGTTCTGCTCCCCACTCTGTCTCTGGTGAATCTTATCACCCCCCTGCACCTCTCCTACACCCCAGTTCCTGTGTGTATATAAATAAGTAAAAATAATTTTTTTAGAAAAGTGTGTGTAAAGAAAGACAGGTGAGCTCCATACCAGGTCTGTACCTGAGTGAACAGCATTGAGCCAGTAGGAGTTTCCTACTGGTTATGACATTTCACTGTTGTTATAGAAATCGTCATCTTTGGGGCACATCCCACACACAAAAACTCTCTGGATCGTTTTTGCAATTTCATAAATAATTTCCAAGCGAAAATGCTGTAATAAGAAAGTATAGAACATATTTCAGTTTCCAAACATAAAGATAGGATAACAGCAGGTGGAAGAAGGACTGGACAGAAATCAGCTGACTGGCAGATGGGGAAGGCAGGGTTTGTTTAGATTAGCAAGATCATTCTGTACACACCCCTCCAAGCTACACATAGATGTGCAGGTGCAAATTCACACACCCAATCTCTTTTAAGTCACCAAGTTTAGATGTTCCTGTGCTTAGCATTACCAAAATTAGCATTACCCTCAGCAGTTTATCAGTAGATCTGCCTGTTCTGCTCCCCACTCTATCTCTGATGAACCTCTCACCCACCCACCCCCACACACACACCTCTGGCCTATGCCCCAATTCTTGTATGCATAAATAAAAGTAAATCTTTAAAAGAAGAAACCTCCCAAAGTATCATCCTCCTTTTCCTGCTGCTGGTCAGACCCATCCCAGCCCTCCCTTCTGCTCCCTCCTGACATTTTTGAAATGAGTATCTGTTGCTGTCATGACAATTTCATCTGCATTTCTCAGAATTACATTGCCAGCAGCCCTTTGGCCTACCAGCATTTTCCGCAGCCTCATTACCTACGGAGGAGACACTCAGGCTGAAGCCTGACTCAGCACTAAGTGACATCAGCCCAAAGTGACCCTGCAGAGGCCTTCAGCTCACTGCCCCACGCCAGGCCAATATGCTTCTGGAGGGTGGTGGGGGCAGAACAGCCTAACTCAGGTGGAGGAAGGGCTTTGAAGGAGAAGAGGGGCGACAGGTGAGCCTTACGAGACACTGTCCAGCTCAGATCCCTGGATGACCGTCCCGGCTGGGATAGAGTGGCATACAAGCACACACAAGTGTCGCACACACAAGCACTGTACACGCACACACATGAGCACACCATACACAGCTATGTGCACACACCACACAAACATCACACATGTGCACGCGTGAGCACCGTGCACATATACACTCACCATGTACATGCGTGTGAACACACAGCACCGCATCTGTACTTGCTGCACGACATACATGCGCTCTGTGCACACATGCACATCTATGATCACTTGAACACACGTGTGCACATGTGCGCGCACACATACTTGCACACATGCTTGCACGTGCACACAGGTTTCTTGGTGGGTTGTGTCCCTCTCCCTTTCCTCTCTCCTTCTCTCCCTCTTTTTTGTTATTAACTGAAGAACATAATCAGCGCCATGTTCTTAAAACCGCCATTCCAGGGGAAGCTTCTACTCCCCCCTGGGTGGAACCTGCGTTCTAGAGCATTCCTGTATGGATAAGGTGCAGGGCGCCACTCGCCGTGGCCAAAAGCCAACCTCACCAC